CAGGTTTCAGCACTGGGCCAACTCCTATTTATCCAGGATTTGTGTTCCCACAGCAGGCTGCACTTATCCAAGATAAGGACTTTCAAATTCCTTATTCTCCCACGTCCACACTCTTTTAAGCTCCCTTCTGAGTCTGCATTATTTATTATATGAATGACCAGAGAAACGAAACATTGGAAAGATTTTCTACTAAAATCTAGTGCTAATACGCTCTGAAATTAATAAAATTCCTCAAAAATATTCCATAAGAGCAGAATTCCTTCCCTAGGCTATGGTTTTTAGCTTCCACATTCTTCCCTGTAACACGCACTGGCTACAGAAGCAGTTCTTGTTTGCTTCCATCACTCACAAATGCAGATCTCTCCTGCCCTGTTGTATCTAAGGAATGGCATTTACCTGGTAACTGTGAGATACTTGGCATGGAAATCTGGCAAGCTATGCAGAGACGAGGTTTAATTAGATGGTGATTCATTTACTGAGGGGGAAAAAAAAAACCTTTGGATTTTTCATCAGATACATCCTGTGAACATTAAACATGAGTGCCATGACCAAATGCTCCTTTTGGCATGTCAACGCCGTGTGCCTTTCCCCTTCCTGCCTTGTCTTGCGCAGATTGATGTATCCAGGAATGTGGTACCGTGCTTATTAAAGTCTGAAATTATCCACTGGGTGGTTAAAAAACTGCTAATTCCGGCCAATGAGTGAAATAGCTGGTAATTTTGTAAAGTACTCTTAGACAAATAAGATATTTTGGCAGCCGAATGTTGATGTAGCAGAATGTGCTTTTCTGATTGACATATGCTAACAATACTGCCTCCACAATCAGGGGGAGGATAATTTACTTTTCATTTCCATTGGAAATGAGGTGAACCAGAACGTGGTAGCTTGTTAAATCCCAGCTATGTGGGATTTGCTCAAAACCACAACTCAAACGATGCTCTGCATCCTCGGTCCTCTCCAGCATCACTTCCAGGAAACCATCAAAGGCAGATTTCCTCCTGAGATAGTTTTCAGATCCTTTTTGGGTTTCTCAACCATTTCCCAAGGCTTGTGCTCAAGGGGTGGCTGGACCGGAGGAGAGCTCTGCACTGAGAATCCTCCTCAGTGGAAAGCAGAAAGGCTGACAGACAGCTCATACCATTTCCCAGACAGAAAGCTGGTGTGCAGCAGGGAAATGAAGTATGAGAGAAGCTTAATCATCTTGGTGAGGTTCTACCATCTCACCATCATCCACACTTCCCTCTATTTGAGTTGTCCTTCTCACCCCCCTGAAGAGGAAGGGGTCAAAACTGCTCTGAGCATCCCAGCTCACTGCTGGAAGGGGCCGTGTCTCCAGCGATGTGGCACTGACAGAGAGCAAGAACTTGGCTCTGCCGTCACCTCATTTATCAGGCAACAAGGGAACATCTCTGGTCTCTGCCACAAAACCACTGTCATAACCCAGGGCTAAAATTATCCCTAAATATTAGTTGTTCCCCACATTCGCTCCTGCTGGCAGGGGTTCTCAGCTGCTGCTTCATGGGATGCTCCACGCCGCGCTGCTGCTGCGACCAGCATTTCACTCTTCATTTGCTTTGTGGGACTTTATTTACTTATTTAGGAATGAAAAAGCCTGAGGGAACACACAAGACACATATTCAGGAATATTTTATGGTCTCAGTAATGGAACATTTTCTCAGCAAAACCCTCTCAAAGAAAATATTATGAGCAGTTCTGATTCGCGGCTCTTTGTCGATATAAATACTTGCAGTGGAAGTGTTTAACTTGCTGCTGCAACTCCAGGAAAAAAACTTTAGCCTAATTTTTTACTTTCAACCACTCAAGTGCTCCAAGACCTTGTGAAACCTCCTTGAACACTCACTAACAGTTCCATGCCCTTTCACAACCATGCGCCGATGGACTAAGGCAACAATCAGCTAAAGCAATTGAGTTTTGCTGTAAGTGCCTGTAACCAATGTAGTATTTCCCCTCCTTTCCTTCAGATACATATATAACAAAAGCCTGGGCTTGTAGGAGGGATGGAAAAACCATCTTCTTGTAGTGGTCTTTAAGTTCCTACTCCTACAGAAGCTGCCTTGGAGCACAAAAGAATAAGCCTTCATCAAACTTCTGGTTTAGAGGACTCATAAACCCCCCCCCCCGGGGAATCCCTGAGTGAAGTTACAAGCTCATCTTCTCCATCACTGTTATAAGTGGATGTCTGCTTTTAGTGGTAACCCAGGGAAACCACAGCAACCAGATAATTTGAGGGACAACTTGGCAAAAGCAAATCACATCAACATGAAGGTCAGCAGAGCCAGGGAGCAGTTTTCTGTACAAAAGATATAGGAAGAGTCACAAAGCCGAGAACTGGCTTCTGCTTTTGCATCACTTGATGTTTCTGGTCCACCCCCTCCATGTCTCTTCCATGTTTCTGTTTCAAAGGAAGAGGAGAGTGATTCAGGTCTCTGAGTGTTACTGTTTAGGTGGTGCTGGAAGGGAAGGCTGTTGTTTTGTATGAGACAGAACACTATTTGGTCCTGAGGACTAATCCTATCCTACAGATGCTACCAGACTTTAAGGATTGAACTGATTACCAGAGTGACAGCAGCATGGAAGTGGGTTAGTGTTTCATCCTCTCCTGCCAGTGGCAAACCTTGCAGTATTGGATTTTCTCTTTTTTTTAGGAGGATTTAGCACAGAGTTACAGGGTTTGAGGTGCTGGGGTTTTTACACTTGAGAGCAGTCAATGCTAAGCCTTTCCATGCACAGCTTTGTGCTTCTGCACTGTGCTCATTCTGCATGCCCCTGTCCATCATGGTGCTGAGCAGAAACCTCAGATCTGGTGGGTTTACACTGATGTAAACACATGAATTTTAATGGAGAGCAGAATCTGACTGAACCATGCTTGCTGATAGCAGACATCACAGAATCAGACCACTTTTCGGGCACCCAAGCAACCCTGAATACAGAATTAGTTTAGATGCAGCATTGCACAAGCTGTCCTTTCCATGATGAGCCAACATAACACCTGAGACTTTCAGGTCAAAAATGAACCTGGACACTGTCTTAAATGCTCCTTCCCAGGGCCAAAGTGATCTGTAAAGGTATATAAGGACCCAAAGGCTCCCACAGTTGTTCACTGACATTTTAGTCCCACTGATGTCATGAGTTTCAGTACTGGGGTCCAAACTCACACAACCCAGCAAGCAGCTTCCTAGAAAAAGCACTGAGTACAGAGGGTTTGCAGGAGGGGGATCAGCTTTTCCAGCCTTTCCAGTCCTCAAGAGTTTGTGTTTGCAGATAATTCCTTCCACAAATTAAAACCTTCTGCTTCTGGGGAAAACAGTGATTTATTTCTTTTTAACTATATGAAAGTTTTGGTACAAATCAAGCCATGGGGAAAAAATCTTTAATACAGCAGAAAGCTTTCGCTTTTACCATAACAATTCATAAAAAACGAAAGTCAGTGCTGTTCTAGACAATTGGCCAAGCTCTTTAGAGACTTCACAATAGAATTATGGAATGAATCAAGGCTTTAAAGAAAGGTCGGAAAAGACTTTTTGAGTTCTGTGTGATTACATTAGGCAAGACTAATTTATAGCTAGGGCAAAGGTTTTGAATGAAAGGAACTCTGAAGCACAAGTGGCAGAGTGAAGCTTTCTGAGAGCTGTTTCCTTTTACTGATGTGCAAACATCATTCTGCAGTAGGAAAGAAGGAAATTCAGGTGCTAAACCCATAGAAATAGGAATGGGGACCTACAGGGTTCCTTTCTTAGTCTGACCTGGTATGTCTGAGCAAATCATTTCCACCCCAGCGTGCACCAGGTCAGCCCAGCTACATCTTGAATAGATGAAATAGGTCCTTTACAAGTACAAATTACTTTCTCAGTTAAACCGTGTCATTTTGTACCAGCTGAGAACTTGATCCTTACTGCTTAATGATCTTCCCTAGCCTCTCAAGGTGACTCCAAAGGATAACTCCTCTTTATACAAAGGAGGCCTCTGAGATATCTTAAAAGCTTAGAAAACCACTATATATATAACAAAAGAAGCCATTAACAGTGCGTAATGGTGGGGTGTATCTAGGAACTTCCTCAGTCCAAAGAGGAGCTCTATTATTATCACCAGCATAAATGAGAGATGATGTTCTTCTCACCATGTGGGTTGCGAGAGACGAAACCCAGCTGGTACTTTTGCTAAACACATTGAGTTCTGGGCACAAAACTGTATAGAGACAGCCCACCATCCCACCACAGCAGCTCACCATCCCACCATGGTCGCCTCACCGTTTGTTAAGCTCAGCTCCAGCAGGGTTTCTAGACAGCCCATAAGGCCTGACTCACAAAGTCTTATTTGAAATGAACAGCGACTTGCACTTGATTCAATCACTGCTTAATTTGATCCTCCATTTAATTTTATCAAAACTGTAGTAATCAAATAATTTGTACTAAAAACATTACAACTTCCACTTGTTTATTCTGGTCAATTTTAATCCTTTAAGGCACAAGGTTTATTGGATAATTTGGTTATGAGATAACAAAACGCTGTCATTAAACACACAAGGAAACGAGAGGCCATAAAAAAAAAAAAAAGGAAGTAAAAAAATCCCAAAGAGTGCTTGTAATAAAGAAAAAAAACAGTAACACGCTGTTATTTAGGAGTCACACTAAGCACAATGAATGCTAAGAAGCATCCTGCTGTTCCCGAGATGAAAAGATCAATGGCATGTTTCAGTTGAGACATTTCTGGCAATGAACTACACTGAAAGAGGGAAGCAACATAAATGAATGTGAATGAATTAGGGGGTTTTGAGTGTCAACCCATGTTAATGAACATATATCAGTGTCATCAGTTTTCTCTCTGTGCAATAAGCCTTCAAAAGTCAAACCCAGCAGAGTAAAAGGAGCGAAAAGATTCCAACTGCAGGCTGTTCCTCTGTTGCTTTGAGAAATAAGACCCAACCTCCTGCTCCATTGATCCTGCTCATGCCTTAACCGTGCCACATCTCTCCTCTACAGGTCAACACTTTCATCTCCTTTGTGTTCCCAATGGTCGTCATTTCTGTGCTCAACACCATCATCGCCAACCAGCTCATGGTCATGTTCAAGCAGGCTGCCCAGGAAAACCAGGTCTGCACCATTGGTGGGCAGCAGACGATGCTCAGCATGTCCATGGAGCCCAACCGTGTGCAAGCCTTGAAGCACGGCGTGAGGGTCCTACGTAAGTACTGTCATATTTTGGCATGGAACTGGCTACAGGTGTCGAAGTAAATACAGTTTGAAGAGTAATAGATTGAAACTGATAAACACTTTCATCCTAAACCTATTTTAAATGAAAATTAGCCCTTTTGGGAAATCCAAATTGCCCCCAAATGCTTTGAGATTTTCCAACATTGTCCCATTCTTCTATCATAGCCACAAATCTTGGAAATTTAATTTGTCCCCTTGCTCTCTTTCCTTCTCCATCTTTTTCTTTCTAAGACACCAAGAGTTTTCTAGAGAATTTTATCCTCTATTTTCCACTATTTTCTTTTTCTCCTAGTGTCACTTTTCTGAGTTCTAACCTCCCTTTAAAGGACTTTAAAAAAATCATAGAGCAAAAGGAAGAGGTTTAAGTATAATTTAGTTGATTGTACTCAGATAAAAACCCCAACATTTAAATAGATTTCATGTTCTGTGAAACAGAACCAACCTGATAACCTCAAGCTTTCCTCTTCCTTCTTCTGTTTCTGGCCAGCTCTACCCTGAACCCTCTACCTCTTTCAGCTGGTGCTGGATTTAGGCTTTGAGTATGACCAGGGGACTGATGTCATTTTAGACCCAAACTTACTTTGTTTGAAGAGTTGCACTTTACCTTCTCCCACCAGCTATTGGGCATCCAGTGTTTTGCAGACTATTTGCAGCCCCAATACCCAAAAAGGCATCTTTTGCCCCAAGCCAAATCAGTCCGGCTGTGTTTAAGATTTATCAAAAACCTTATTTATTTATATTAAAAAACGCTGCTTCTTATATGATTTTCAACTAAATCTTGCAGCCCTTTGAGGGCTGGCTATTGAAACATCTTTCAGCCAAATTCCAAAGCCTTGTTGTGGAAAATAGCTTTACCTCTATTTCACATACAATAGCGGGTTCATATTTGCACATGTGGTGTCTCAAATATTTATAACTGGGAGCATATGTGGCCATTTGTGACCTGCTTAGATGAGTATTCATAAATTCATGGAGAAGCTAGACAGAACTGTGAACAGAAAGAGATTCAATATAGGGGTTTTTAGTCTTCCAAATAGCCACATTTAAGGTTATCACAAAGAAACCTTTTCTTTTGCCTTTGTCTGTTGATATGTAGAGCTGAAGAACAGACCTGATCACAGAGACTCTCTGAAAAAGCAAAATTAGCCCAGCATTTTAATGATTTAGTCAGCAGCAACTTGAGCCTTGCCTATTACCTCTTTATTCTTTTACTGCAGTGCTTTGGTCCAGACAAAGGTTAAATAAAAGATGCTGTACCGAGGAACTGAGCTGTACTGCAAAATGCTGGATGGTTTCATTAAATAAGCTGAGGAAAAGACCAAAGTGTCTGGTAGCTTAAACAGACAGATAATACAGCAAAAGTTGTTAAAAAGTAGTACCCCAAAATAACTGTGATTGTTTGTTGTTAACAAACTTTAAGCTGTGACAGTCACATAAGACAGTGAGGATTAGTTAGCAGGCATTTGTCTGACTGGTGCTTTTCATGGTAAAGCTCTTGGTAGCTGACGTGCTTTGGCCAAGGCCACACTTCCAGGCAGGAAAAAAATCCCTCAAGAAGGCACCAAGGATCTCCACGAGATTTTTCCAGCTCTTTTTCACATGGGATGTGTCCTATGCAGTGCACTATTCCCACATCATGTTCACCACAGCTCCTAATACCATGCTGGGAAACGCCTACTGAGAAAAAGAAGAAAAAACGCCAAAAGACATGGAATTCCCTCTAAGTATCCTGTTGGACTGGGATATTTGCTGTTTCTGCATCCTTTATCTATAGGGGGATAAAGTGTCAGCCTTGCTTCAGGGCTGAGCCTGCAAGGACGGGGCTGTGCAAGTCACTTGGTTCCCTGCTTACTTTTTCTGTTTCCTAATGCTTCCTCCTGCTGCCATTAAGTGAGAAGTTGCCTTTTCTCACTTGTGCTACAAACATCTCACACCTTTCTCTCTCCTTTTAGTATTGTATACTCTTTAAACATCAAGAAGAGAGAGCTTTTCATGAATAATAAGTGCGAGTCCTGAATTTACACCTGCCATTCTCTTGCATTACTCAGTGGTGGTGGAAGAGCATCACTCACCAACAGGTCCAATAAGTTTAATTTTCTTCATCTCCTTCCCCAGGCAAACTTTTGCTCTTTTATGTACTGCAGAAGCTGAGAGAAGTTAGCAAAAGTGAGGTCTTTTCAATATGTAGCCTGATATGGTGCAGAAGTGGGTCAGGTGTGGCACCGTGGGGCCTTATGGCAGTGATGCACAGATGTTAAAGCATCTCTGCAGTGTCACCCCAGCAACAGGACTGAACTCCCCTCCCTGCTGGGAGAGCAATGAAAAAGCGGCTGCTTCCTCCTTCTCTGCACTGAGGAAGACCCAGCAAATAAGAAATTCATCATCAGTTTTGTCTGTGATTCACCACATGATGCAGAAAGGCTTTTTTTATCTACCAAGTGTGAGTGAAATCCTGCTGCATTTCATTTTACAGATGCACTTGATTACTGGATGTGCTTGGCTCACATTTCCTTTTGTCACCTATTCCTTATAACTCTTTTTTTCTTTCAATAAATCAGGCCTGTGAGCTGTCTGAAAAGTAGCAAGATACACAAGGACACAAAGGATTTAACCTGGGACCCATGGCAGCCAAAACCACGTACGCAGTCTAGGCTCATATATGGAAAAGGATGGGAAAAGAAAAACGGCACTTGTCTACACTAATAGAACTGTTGGCACAAAATCAGAGCTTCACAGGGGTCAAGTTATTTTCCATTTCCAAAGGTGAACTTTGGCTTGAAGTACAAAGAGCTTGATACACTTTTTTAAGGTCGAAATGTTTCAGATCTAGTGCCCAAAAAAGACCTTTTTTTGCAGTTCATGGTGTGCAGAGCTTTTGGATGAGATCAGAGCAGCAATCACCTTCCTTCTTTCCTCCAGGTCTGCTGAGATGATGTATTTATTGACATTGAAGTAGGAGCTAAATCGATTGGGTTAACAGCCTCATTCAAAACGTGCACAACATCATTTGATAGCGTTCGCGTATTTCGTGGCTCTGTCTGACTTTGGTCATGTACAGAATGATTAGGGAGATGGGGATCAAGGAACACATCAGCCTGGCTGCCAGGGAGCCACCTCGTTAATGCAGTTACCATGTGATTCCTGATTGTAATTCCCTCTCTGCTGTCAGCATTCACCAGGTGTGAGGATCCAAAGTCAGGCAGCTCAATGCACTGGCAGCATCCCAGCTCTTTAGTGAGGGTAACAGGGAAAGTCTGCATCAGTGCTGCTGCTAAATAACCTCCCACCACGAGGCTTTGTGCCTTCCTTCGTCCATCCAATATTCCATCTTTCCAATTGCAAACCACATCCAGTCTTTGTTATTACTCCTTGGATAAACTGCAGTGATGAGAGCTGATTGCTTGGGTGATGTGTGTTGCTTCATGGAAGGGTGAGCGTTCTCTGATTGCCTGATGAGTTGATAACATCCTAAATAAATCTTAGAGCTGTGCACACATGTACCTTTCAAATAAGCAGCCTTCAGTAGGTAAAACTTCATGTATGCTGTGCACACTATTGCATGCTGTATCCAGACATAGAAAGACAACATCAATCTTCCCTATCTGTCTCACATTTACGAACAGCACTGAAAAATCAGGTGATATTTGAGCTTGGTTCAGGCTGAAAGCACAGTTTGGGCAAAACGTCTTCTCAAAAAGGGACAGTTTTGTGACAAGGATTAAATGTCCCATCGATACACCAGCCTGCAGCCCATTTTTCACTGAGCAGCCCTCAATACCTCCCTGACTGCCTGTCAGATCGGTTCTGGCTGTGGATGGAAGGAAGGAGTTACTGGATGGCACAGCTCAGCTCTGAGAACGTTGAGACAAACTGATGGGCATCAAGAGGAGGCTTTGCATGTCCCTGGGTGGACATTGGCTAAGCCTATTAAAATGCAATCAGTTCCAGGTAGTGTTTGCCACATTAGAGAAGCTGCTTAGTGAAAGCAATTATAAAGGACTTAGAAAGATTTAACCAATTAAAAGAATATCCTTTGGTCTCCCACAGCTGGCTGGGTGATGCCTCCTTAAGGTGCTTCTTAGGAGCTGAAATCAGACTACATTCTTTTACTGAAAATCCAAGAATTTATAAATTATGATTTTTTGGGGTCTGTATTTCTTCAAGTAACACTAGACAAAGGCCAAGTATTAATGAAGCATCCAAGCAGCCTGCATTTCATTAACTTGTGCATTAATAATTCCCTTTCTGCAGGAATGCCTTGAAGACTTCATTCATTTCTCCTCTCTGATGTTCCAAGTCTGAGATATCTGTTTCAGGAGAATATTGCTATGAGATTTAGTGTAATCATCTCGCAAACAGGAATAACAAATAGCTAATACTTGGCAGCCGCAATACACAGAAGAGCACCAGTCTGCAAATGTGCTCCTTAGGCAGATGCAGTTCATAATTCCTATATACTAAGGGAATCAGATTTGTCTATGAACCATTTCTTTTGGAAGAAAGGAACTAAATTCATGGCAGTTTGTATCCCTAATAAAAAGCCTGAGCAGCTCCAAGTGGAGCTCAGCAAAAGCACCGTGATATTAAGGGTGAGTGGAAGATGGGTTTAACAGCTCAAGTGTCACATTGAAATTCAGGAGGATAAATTAGCTATAGAACAGTTGTATATATTTCCCTGAGATGTTTGTACATGTAGGTTTACTTTAGAGCCTGCCAAGTGACATCAAGAAAGCAGTATCAGAGCGCTCTATAAACACCCTCGAGGAGCAGGAAGGGGTGATGGCTGTACCTCTCAGGACAGGGGTACTCTTTGTTCTCCTCTCCTAAGCCATGTCCTTTCTCTGGCACTGCAGCTCTGGCTGCAGTGGATTCAGCTGGGATTCAGGCTCCCGTGGCTGCATCTCTGAAGACAACTCTAAGGCTTGTCCTGCCCAGCAAGCAGATTTTCCAGGTGTAAAACCCTGTCAATGT